TTCAAAGATTTGAACTCAAGATCTCATACTCTGATACTATGTGAAATTTTGTAGGAACACTGCCAACTATTTTAAAAACTTAAGCTGTTAGATGAATGCGAGATTTAATATTTAATTATCCTATAAACGTGGTTGAATCAAAACCCTTTAGTGTTAGTTTGCTAATATGTCACCCATTTAATAAGGAAGGAAAATCGAAGACGTCGATTGGCGTGAGCTTCAATCCCAAAGAACTATTACGCACATTGTCAATCATATAATAGTGTAAGTAGGCTTTTTGCTTCTTGGACAAAACCTAAGAATTGGAAAATTCATTCTCATATCTAATTGGGCGATCCCTGACGTCCCCCACCAACTCATTGGACTACCCTTGGAATAATTTCGATAACCATGATGAGAAATGCGTGGGTCATGGACATTTATTTGACCATGCGCCAAACTAATCAAATCTCACCATCTAGAAACCTCAACAAACATGCTGAAACATGTCCTTATGTGGCCCATCTTTGAGTGCATGTTATCGAGTCATACAAGGTGGCCACGCTGGTTCTTCTTCATCCAACAATATATAGTTTTACGGCAGTGGCTTGTCCCGCTTCATTGTTCGACCCAAAGCATACGTGCGTGCGGAGATTTGTCTATATAAACCAAAAAGAACAGGAAATAAAGAAGAGCACGTTATGTATGTCTATGGAGATGCTTATTAGGTGAGAAGCAATGGGAGCAGAGATTGTTCTCTTGCCATCGGTCCCCTCATGATTGCTAAATGCGCAATTAAATCTTCCCATGTGAGAGGAACGTGGAATCTAATCGGATTGCTCTCCAATTTAATTGATTTTTTCTCTTACCAAACTCTTATTTCTCTCGATCTTTGTCTATGGTGGTTGCGATCTCCTCTTGACTGGATCATATCTCCTATAACCTCATCCCTTCGACGGATGGATTTCCTTGGAACGCGTTGTGTTCATTATGGTTGTCGTCCTCTCGGGAACCCAAGATGTGCACTCTACTTTACAAGGTAGAAGAAGTAATCACTTCACCACTCATGTCCTATCACCTGTCAAATACACCATTACACGCATGTAATGTACCGAAATTGAGTTCATAATTAAAAATTTCAACCTTGAATTCTAAAACGTATCCGTGTGTGTGATCCGATCACCTCTAGGTGCGGCTCATCCCACTATGACATAGTGCCAACATCGAGCACTGCTACCGACCTGCCTCCAACCACCTCCGATCCCTGTTTTGACCCATTCCCTTCCTATGTCTGGTGCATCCTACGACTATGTGTGTGTGTTTGGGTTGAATAGACTGAACTGAACAGTCAAGAAGGTTTCGAATTCAAATTTTTTTAACCAACACAGACGTCCAGTTGTTAACATCGTCTGCATATAAAATTTGAATGTGATGAATATTTTGTCTGCATACTCAAATATACATATTAGTCCAAATAGAATTTTTCATTATCTCCAAAATATATAGGAAATTTTGCCATCAAGCTCCACCTTTCGGTCATGAGAAAACATTCTATAACCATTTAATATGGACATTTCTTCACACGCATGAAAAGTTAGCTCATGTAATATTATCCAAAAAGTCTTAAACCGATTGGAAAACAGCCAATTCAATCTTAAACTTATCAATTGTTCTAATTTAGTCCTTCAACTTTTACAAATTTGCCAATATAGTCCTTCCATCGAATTTTGGCGAAAAATTACTGACGTGGTGGTTCAGTAGTGACGGTTGTCCTAGTGTTATGCTTGGCGTTGACGTGGATAATTTTTTCAACTTTTTAAAAATTTTCTGTAGTGAGTTTATGCGAAGATGGAAAAGACAAACAAAAGAAGCGACGAACAAAGGTTTTATGTGGTTTGGTCGACTAAGAAAAAGTTCCTTGGAAGCCTACATCCGAGGTAGAAATCCCCATATTTCTTAACTTCTTGGGGGAGATTCATTCTCTTTAAATGAACAAGATATTTGATAAACATAGCATGTGATTTTTATGGTAAATACAGCTGTTACACATTGAACATTGATCGTTTGAAGAAGAAGAAAAGAAGAGAAGGGGATGAATGAATTGTCTAACCCTCTAGGTTAGCATGCTCTCTTATTTATACTAATAGTGAGGGTACATAGTTATGTGGTAGACATTCCCACACATGATAGTAAATAATAATAAAATAACTCATAATAACTCGTAACACCCTCCCTCAAGCTGAGGCATAGATATCGACCATGCCTAGCTTGTTACATATAAAGCGAACCCGTTGCCCAGCTAAAGATTTAGTAAACACATCTGCTAGCTGATCACCAGTACGAACATGTGAGAGAGTGATACTCCCAAGCGTAAGCTCCTGTCGAAAAAAATGACAGTCAATCTTAATGTGTTTTGTTCTCTCGTGAAAGACAGGATTTGAAGCAATGTGAATCGCTGAACTACTATCACACCATAGCAAAGTAGGACCACTCAACCCATATCCAACCTCATTCAGAAGATGTCTAGTCCACATAATCTCTGCAGTGGCTGCAGCAATGGCCCGATACTTTGCTTCAGCACTACTCCTCGCAACAATGTCCTGTTTCTTACTCTTCCATGAAATCAAATTACCACCAACATACAAAGCATATCCAGAGGTAGACCGCCTATCAGTAGGGCAACCAGCCCAATCAGCATCAGTATAACACTCCATGCGAACGTGACCATGAGCGGCAAAAACAATTCCCTTGCCGGGACTACCTCGAAGATATCTCAGAATCCTCAAAACAGCATCCCAATGTGGTTGTCTAGGTGCTGCCATAAACTGACTAGCTACACTAATCGAATATGCAAGATCAGGTCTAGTCATCGTAGTGAGATAGTTTAGTTTACCAACAACACGTCGGTATCTTTCAGGGTGTTCAAACAACTCGCCCTGATCAGGAATAAGCTTCAATCCCGGTTCCCATAGGCGACTCTGCAGATCGAGAGTGCTGCATGTTAAATTCAGCCAAAATATCTAGAATATACTTACGTTGTGACAAAGAAATACTTCCTTTCTTTCGAGCCACCTCTATGCCAAGAAAATATCTCAAATCACCCAGGTCTTTCGTCTCAAAGTGAGTATGTAAATATCTCTTCAGCTCAACAATACCCTGCTCATCATCCCCTGTCAAGACAATGTCATCCACATATAAAACCAGAAAGATACACCTAGTAGTAGCACGACGATAGAACACTGCATGATCCTTTTGAGACTGAAGCAAACCAAAAGTCTGAACCACTGAGTTGAATTGGTCAAACCATGCTCGAGGAGATTGCTTCAAACCATACAAAGAGCGACGAAGCTTACAAACTTTCCCTCCCCGAGCAAAGAAACCCCGGAGGCCGCTCCATATAAACATCCTCAAAGAAGATCACCGTGAAGGAAAGCATTCTTGATATCCAACTGATGGAGAGACCAAGAATGCACAGCTGCAAGGGATAAGAAAAGCCGAACAGATGCCATTTTGGTAACCGGGGAGAAGGTCTCAAAGTAATCAAGACCATGAGTTTGAGCATAACCCTTAGCAACCAACTGGGCTTTCAGACGAGCAACAGTTCCATCAGGATTGACCTTCACGGCAAACACCCAACGACAACCAATAACCTAAGCACCAGGAGGAAGATCAACCAAGGACCAAGTCTGATTGCGTTGGAGGGCACTCATTTCCTCCTCCATGGCCAAACGCCAACCTGCATGCTGAAGAGCCACGGGAACAGAAATAGGTAGGGAGGTAGCATCAATATTAGCCACAAAAGCCGACAAACTCACTGATAAACCCTTGTAGGAATGTGTATAAAGAGGGCGATCCCTGCAAGCATGGTAGCTCTTACGAAGAGCAATAGGTTGCTCGGCTGTATTAGTCTCAGTAAGTGGATCAGCTACAGGAAGGAGTTGCTCAACAGGAGGATCCTCCACGGGAGAGACTGGCCCAGAGGGAGAATTGACAATGGGGGCAATGTCTAGTGAAGACGCTGGAGAGATAACTGGATGAGAGACCATTGGCGGAGAATAGACAAGTACAGGGTCAGAAGATGTGGACTCGGATAATGGCGGGACTAAATCAGATGAACTAGAGCTAGTTGCAGAAAAGTAAGGCTGAGACTCTATGAATGTGACATGATGGGAGGTGAGCATTTTTCTTAAGGTAGGAGAATAGCAACGATAACCCTTTAACACCCGTGAGTAACCAAGAAAAACACATTTGAGTGCACGAGGATCTAGTTTTGATACACCCGGACGATCATCATGGACAAAACAAGTACACCCAAAAAGTTTAGGGGGAAGAGAAAAAAGACTGCGATTAGGAAAGAGGAGCCCATGTGGAGTATTACCCCCAAGAAAAGAAAGAGGCATACGATTAATGAGATAGCATGCTATAAGAACAGCTTCCCCCCAGAATTTTTGTGGAACATGCATATGTATAAGAAGAGCACGAGCAGTATCCATAAGATGGCGATTCTTCCGCTCAGCAACACCATTCTGTTGGGGTGTGCGAGCACATGAAAGACGATGGTGAATACCATGAGAACGGAGAAATTGATGGAAATGATCCGACATATATTCCCCCCTACGATCAGATTGTAAAGCCTGAATGTTATGATGGAATTGGGTGTCGATAGAAAAATAAAACTCACGGAACACGGAAAATAACTCAGAACGTTCTTTTATTAAGTAAACAAATGACATTCTTGTGAAATCATCGACAAAGAGAACATAATAACGATAACCAAAGACTGACATAATAGGACTAGGTCCCCACACATCAGAATGGACCAAGGCAAACGGAGCAGTTGCTCGTTGAGATACACTTGATGGTAAAGAAACACAACTATGCTTTGCAAGCTGACAGGACTCACAATTTATTATAGACACTGAACGAAAACGAGGAAACAATGATCGCAACATAGATAGAGAGGGATGTCCTGCACGATAGTGAACGCCTAAAACATCTCGTCTCTTTCACTAGCGCAATGGAATAGACGCACCATCTAGCTGGTAGATCCCACCATTGACACTTCCCTTACTGATAGTCTTCCGCATCGAGAGATCCTGCAAAACACAATAATCAGGGTAGAAAGTCACGGAGCAATTCAAATCCCGTGTGATACGACCAACAGATAACAAATTAAATGGCATGCCGGGAGTATATAAAACAGAAGATAAGGAGATCTCATCGGAAGGTCGTGCAACTCCGTGTCCCTGAACCATCAAGGATGACCCGTTCGCAATAGTAATATGGCGTAACGGAGCCGAGGACCGATATGCAAGAAGAATACTCTATTACCCGTCATGTGAGCACCGCACCGTAATCAATAATCCAAGTAGCGGAAGGAAGAGCTGCACATGCTGAGGTAGAGGAATAATTAGATGATTGCTGTAGTTGTGCAATAGAGGCAGACGCAGTCCTACTCCCTGAGGTCTGAAACTCCAAGTAGCGAGTATACTCCTCAGGACTCATTGTGATCACCTTTTGGTCCATAGGCACGCTCTCAGGCGCAACATGAGCAGATGTGGTTAGTGAACCAGAAGCTGCTTGTGCAGCTTGTAATTTTCGGCAATAGCTGCGAAGATGTCCAACAATACCACAATAATTGCAAGTACGAGTCTCCCGACCACGACCGGTAGTACCACCACGACCTCCCCCTCGGTCACGGCCTCCACTGCCATGGCCACCTCCTTTGTTCGTATATAAAGCAGCAGCCTATTCACCAACCTCTGAGGGGGCGGCTTTAACCTCCTTACGACTCGCAGTATGAAGAACACGACGATGAACTTCTCCAAGAGAAGGAACTCGAGCATCTGAAAGGATTTGTGAGCGAGCAGTGTCAAACTCAGCTCCCAGCACATTAAGATAGCAAGTGACCAGAAACTGATTTCGTTGTTCTTGAAAAGTAGTCCGACTAGACGTAAACGGGACTAACCGATCAAATTCATCAGCAAAGGATTTAAAATCCTCATAATATCCCTGCAGAGGCCGACCGGCAGAAGCCGGCTTCAACAACCCACACACAACATCATAGAGTCACGAGAAATCATTCAGAGAGGAGTATAAATCTGCCAAAGCATCCCATAACTCCTTAACAGTATCAGTATTGCTAACAACGGTCTGAACAGAATTATCCATAGCATTCAATAGTTGACTATAAATACGACAATCAACAGTATACCATTCATCATAAGTCGGGTCATCCCTGCTCGGGGGAGGCTGAGTAAGATGATGAGATAACCGCTGTCCGTGCAAATTCTTGAAAACATTCTTCTTCCAAAGTGTGTATGTAGACTGTCCCGTCAAAACACGTTCGACGAGCTTAGACGAAGTAGATATAAAGGTCGGAGCTTGTGACCGCATCACATCAGATCCAGTCGCACCAGATCTATTCATGGCTAATCCAGTCTCACCGGATTCAACAGTAGCATCTATCGGAGTCTCTGAATCACTTGACATAATGATGCGTACTTAATCTAGTCACACCAGATTAATCAGAAAATTAGATTAAAGAAAGAGATCACAAGCTCCACCGATCCTTGATCAGAACTAGATCAGATCTGGAAGAAGAGAATGACCAACAAAAAGAGAAGCAGGCCGAGAGATTAGATCAGAGAGAGAGAGAGCAGATTGTGACGGTGATGGTGGTGGTGATGGTGGCGCTGGCTAGGGTTAGGATTTAGGTTGGGGTGGCGGCTAGGGTTGGCTCTAATACCGTGTTTGAAGAAGAAGAAAAGGAGAGAAGGGGATGAATGAATTGTCTAACCCTCTAGGTTAGCATGCTCTCTTATTTATACTAATAGTGAGGGTACATAGTAATGTGGTAGACATTCCCACACATGATAGTAAATAATAATAAAATAACTCATAATAACTCGTAACAATCGTCAATCTTATCATGATTTGGCAAGTATATCTCGCCAACACTACCCCTCCAAGTTGAGGCAAAGATATCTTTTGAGGTCAACTTGGCCAACATTTGTTGAGGTACTCCTTTAGAAAGGGGTTTAGTAAAGACATCGGCAAGTTTTTCTTTGCTTTGAACATAAAGAGTCTCAATAGTTTGGTCTTGAACTCCCTTGATCAAAATGACAGTCAACTTCTATGTGTTTTGCTCTTTCATGGAAGATTGGATTTGATGCAATGTGAGTCGCTGCTTGGTTATCACAAAATAGCTTCATAGGAGTAGGAGGTCCTTCAAGGCCCAAGTCACTCAATAGCAAGTGAAGCCAGACCAATTCACATGTGGCAGATGCCATAGATCCGTATTTTGCTTAGTGCTTGAACGAGCAACCACAGTTTGCTTTTTGCTTTTACATGTAACGAGATTACTTCCTACAAGAGTACAAAAACCAGCGGTGGACCTCCTATCAATGGGACTGCCAGCATAATCAACATAAGCATATCCTACAATCTTTGTGTGACCATGTTTCTTCATAAGAATGCAACATCCTGGACATGACTTCAAATACCTTAATATACGATTGACAAGTTCCATGTGACCTTTGGTAGGAGCAAGCATAAACTGACTTATGAAGCTAATGGCAAATGAAATCTCCAGTTGAGTGATAATCAGTTAAATTAGCCGATCGATGAACCTTTGAAACTGGCCAAAACTTTGGAGAGGAATAGTACTTTTCATTACATTGTTCCCAAAGTCCATTGAAGACTCTGCAGGTTTGGCCCCCATATTTCCTGTTTCCTTTAACAAATCCAATGCATATTTTCTCTGAGAGAGAAACAAGCCTTTACTGGAATTGGCAACTTCAATTCTAAGGAAGTATCACAACCAACCCAAATTCTTGATGTCAGACTTCTCATGCAAATACTTTTTAAGAGTTTCAATCTCCTATAGATTGTAGCAACCTAACCTCGGGGTGCACTATCTAGGGGTTCGGCTAATGGATTATTAAGTCTATGCCTAACTCGGGCCCTCCCAAGCCCTACCAATTCGCGACTAAGGGTTTAAGTTCTTAACATGTAAATGTTTTTATGCTGGAGTCGACACTAATCTATTTGTGGTGAGTCGATTAATAACCCAAATAAAACATAGAGAGATATATTTTATTTCTACGAACTAGAGATTTTGAGTTCAGAGACTTGGTTACGCTAGATTTATTCTAACACCCTTTCGGTACCTTTTCTTTTTTAAAAAAAATGTTTAATCAAGTAGTCTTGATCCATTTTATTACCTAGTTGCTAACATGTGGGGTGACCAAGCGGGTGCGCAATCCACCAAAGTAACACCCAACAATAAAGGCAGTAAATAAATTGCTAGATTAGGAGAATAACGCACCTCAAAGCAATGTAAGCATCTGCATTGTTAGCTAGAAAATCACATCAACAATCCTAATATGATTTTCTAATTAAGGAGCAATTAACTCAATGTAATTTTTTGGATTTCCTCTTGATTAAATGAAAATTAACCTACGTACCATGATGTGCAAAGTATGACATGTGATTAATTAAACCTAGCGTACGAACTATAAAACATGTGATTAATTAAACCTAGCATGCGAACTATAAGACATGTGATTAAATGACCTAATTCTAATGACAGGCATATGATGTATTTTTGTATTTTTAATAAATTCGGAATTAAAAATGCCAATTATCTAAACATGCAATTTTAAACTAAAGAAAGCAAATTAACCTATTCTAGAGCAATCTTTTTGTTTTTTTTTAATCGAAATTCGAAATTAAAATCAACCCGAAATGAACTATCAAGGTTAGAATAATATCTAATTAAACTAGGAAACAAATTACTCTAATTCCTAATTTAAATTAGAAATTATCTTATCTTTCTAGCAAATCTAGGTTGTCCTATTCTATTCAAAAAAGTTATCTAGATATATTCTAAACATGCAACGTTATCTTCTAAGAAATCAATTCAAATTGCATCTAATCTTTTTGGATTTTCTTTTAAAGAAACAAAATCAAATAAGAGATAAACACCACCATCAAATCAATATCCACACAATCCGCAAAATTTATCTTATCTATTTAAATTTGGAAACAGAATAAACCAGCGATCATATCAAAGTGGTTATGGATATTGATGGAAAGTTTTCTGTTTGAATTTGGAAACAAAATAAATCAAAAATCGTATCCTAGTGATTATGGATAGGATTGAAGATTTTACGTGCCGCCAGATATCGTATCTCGTGGTTAGAGATCAGATTGCCGTCCAAGCACGTTGTTAAGTTAGGAAAGTTTCTTAACTTTGGGTGATTTTTAAATATTTACGGATATCACATACTCACCCAACGATGAACGAAAATCCATAATAGATAACAATATCACCCAAATCAAATAATGAAATATTCAAAACGATATAAAATTCAAACTTGACGGAATTGGGATTGTGGATCACGGGATCGACAGATGGTGGTTAGCGGTGGATCACGAGCAGCTTCTCTCGGCATCGAGCTCGTGGTGGATCACGTGCAGCTCGTTGGCGTCGCGGTGTGGCTCCGGTGTTGCTTGGTGAAGTATCGAAGCTCGGTATGAACCAGTGGGCATCGAACAATGGACAGCAAATCTGAGAGAATTTTCACCGTGGCTAGCTATCGTCGGGCTGGATTATGGCGTGCATTGAGCAGGCCCGTCGTAGATGTAGGAGGCGTAACAGCCGCAATCGCGGAGGGGAGAGGGCAAACTCTTTTGTCTTTCTCTCTCAACGTGTGGGTTCCCGTATGGAAACCTCTACTCCCTTTTGACTTCTTCCCAGTTGACAAAACGTGGCCTTTGTCTCAAATCTTCCACTATCTCCCACTAACGGCTAAATTTGCACCGCTTCAAGCTGGACGTTGTCCACTTTTCATGTGGTCTTCCTTTGGCTGAGACTCATTGGCTCCATGGATGAACGTGAATCGGAGAACTAAGAATTCTCGCGTTCTTTGATCGAATTTCAACCACTAGTGAAGTGGGTTGATATACTCCAAAGTGCGAACGCCGGTGAAGCTCCTTGCGGATGATGATTCAAGAGAAGGGAAACGCCAATGTATTCAAGGGGCATCAAAGTGGTGTTACTTGCAGATGTAGCTCAGTGGATGCCGGAGAATTTTTGAGAGATCATGCGTAAATCTCCTCTCTCTTTTGTGGTTCTCTCTCGCTTCCTCGTGGCCGTGTACGAAATTGTGTGGCCTCCTCCCAATTGTGAAGAGTTAAAGGTCTATTTATAGTGCAAATTAGGTTTTTTATTCCCTAATCTTGATTATGGGTTTTTCCAATAAAAGTCTTAACCTTCATGGGCTCTTTCTTAATCACAAAGCCTTTTTTAACTTTGACGGGCTAAACCCCACTCAATTGAAGCTTAATTATTCTAATCTTGGGCTTGATTTTCAACCACTATGCCTCCCATGGTCTAACTGAATTTCTCATGTAGCGTAGGCTCAATCCCATGACTGATTCAGGTCTATTCACCACCGCCGGTCCAATGCAATTAACGGATTAAACTACATGATTCTAAACTATATGCTATGCAGTCTAATTTCAATATTTTTGTTTAAGGATTAAAGATTAATTCCTAATTTTTTATGCACTGATTATTAAATGGTTAGCCAAAATTTAGGTGTCAACATAGATTATCACCGGTCATGACAATGTCATCAACATACATTAATACTACCATAATTCTTTTAGAATTTTCCTTAACAAACAGCGAGTGGTCGGACTTACCCATTTTAAATCCAAACATCACAAGGGCTGTACGCAACTTTCCGTATCATGCTCGAGGTAACTGCTTGAGACCATAGATTGCCTTCTTGAGTTTGCAAACAAATCCTTGATTTTCTAAGGGGTGACCCGGAGGGAGGTCCATTGTACACTTCGTCTTCAAGCTCTCCATGACGGTTCGGATTCTGGACATCCATTTGGAATAGAGACCAACCACAATTGACAGAAACTGACATGAGAACTCCGATAGTATTCATCTTTAATACAGGAGAAAACGCTTCTATATAGTCTAATATGTATGTTTGGGTGTATCCCTTGGCCACCAATTTAGTTTTATGCCTTCTAATTGAACCCTCACTTCTGTACTTGATCGTGTAAATCCATCAACATCGTACATGACGTTTTTCAATAGGTAATGGAATAATATCCCAAGTCTGATTTTTGTCAAGAGCTTGGAGTTCCTCATCCTTGGCTTTTCTCTATACAGCTGATTGTTATGCCTCAAGAAAGTTTGCCGGCTCAATGTTTGTATTTATAACTGATAGGAAGGTACAAAACTATGGCAAGATGTAATCAAAACAAAAGTACGCTTGTATGGGATAGGTTTTAGATGACTAATACGTGACAAAGTCCTGAAGGCGAGTTGAGGGTTGATATACTCAGGTTGATCGATGAACTGGAGCTATTTCCTGGATGGGGTTGGGAGTTAAAGAAGTTGTGTCTTGATTAGGATTGTCTCTCCCAACTCTCTAGTTCTCATCAATCACCAAATCATCATAAACAATCGATATGGGGGCAAACTCCAAATCGAATCCACCGTAATC